TTCTCTTCCCTCAGCTCTCCAAATTACGTCATATGTTTTTCATAATTCTCAGCCACAGAGAAATATTGGCGTGAACCAGAGAAGAGGATCTGGTAGGCTCACCAAAGGAGCCATCTGAAAGGACACTAACAAACCTGCAGCTCAGGTTAAAGCTGAGTCCACCAGTGCCAACAGCCATCTTGTCAAATAGTAACATATTGCCAGAGTATCAGAGGAGTTCAACAGATGGCCTAACTTTTTCTGTTTCAGTAGGGCTAAGTAAACATTGTTTTAAAAAGGAAAGTAAATGAAGTCTTTAACATTCACCTAGCAATCGAACCATAACACATACTCCTCTCCTTTCCTAAAAAACCTCCCTATCAAATGGCTATTTCCCCTTCAAGACTTCAGCTAACAAAGCTGCCAAACCAGAGGGAAAGTGTTCAGAGGTTCGGAGGTTCGGGTGTGCACTGTTTTGACTCGGCAACTGCATATATCTAAGTAACTAGTTTTGTAACATATTTAACACAGGGTTTTTAGGTATTTATCAAGGAAAGATAAGTAGCGTACAGTACGATTTGGACAGGTCACTCCAAGCTTGTTGCTTCAGTGAGAATTATATAGGACAAGACCATCATTCATCTCAGGGAAAAAATTAAGCAGATTTGTTTTCTCCTCTTCCTCTCTATTGCTAACATGACCACACATCTTTTATTCTGCATTAAGCATTTCCTGCAAACACATATACATACAGTATTGCATTTTCTGCAGTAAATCTCATCAATATTCCCCATATGCAGTTTCTTGAAATATTATTACCCTTTCCATTCTGCTTTTACACTTAACGTCTGAAAAGCCAGCATTACTCGATTAAAAATGACATGACACATTTAAAATACAAATTTCATCCTGTAGCTAGTTATTAAATATTATTAACTATCATTCATTTAAAAACACAACAGCACTTACTATGTGGGATGTGCTTTCCAAACAGGAACAGTTTGGACAGGAACAGGAACAGAAGCAGAAAGACACAGGGTATGTCTATAAGGCACAGTGAATTCTGTTTATCTCAGCAAAATAAATTAGCTCAGGTGAAATGCCACGACAAAACTCCTACACCGCTCCTTAGTACCCAGACAACTTATTCATAGCTTGTTCTGGCATCTCTACCTATTACTGCACAGTATTGTGATAGGCACATTCTAAAACAAAACTGCTGTGGTACATGGTATCCATTCCAGCTTGAGCTGTGAATTATTATCTCAAGTATTGCTACTGTTTGTTTCTTGGGATACTCTGACACCTTTTCTCATACTGAAATTAATCGCAACATTCAGCTGATACCCCAGGTCACTACAGATATCAGGATCTGGCCTAAAATTGTTGAATATCAGTACCAATTATCCTTTCAATTCCCTTCTGTTTTAGACTTATCATTTAGATACATTCTGGAATAATTCCAAATACAATACTGTAATTGTACTCCACTTACGATCTTTGAGCTCTGATTTTTTTTTTTTTAAACACAAACTCACATACATTAAATTGTATTCAATCTTCAAATATTTTATTGAGTTAAACAGATAAATTTCTTTTCAAATCAGTAAATCCCTCCCTCCATTTGCACCTTTACTGAAAAGATTTCTACTTCAAAAATACTGTCTTTGGTTTACATTGACCATTCCATGCTACGTAAATATAAATACTTTCAGGACAACGTGATATGGCATTATCCACCTTCTCACTCTGGCTCAAAAAAAAGCAGTATTAATTAACTTAATAAAAATTTTACTTGCTTAGTTCCTACGCTCCCAAAGCACTAACAGGTAGAAAATTTGCAAAACAGTTGGCAAAAAAAGAAAGGCTCTTAGCTTAATATGTACAATGAAATAAAGAACAAAAAAAAAGTCACTATCTCTCACCAGACTGTTCAAGCACAGCCCATTCCCAAGAACTAACACATCCCTCACAACAGCGGCTACGATGTATTAAAATGATCCACTCACAAACTTCACGTTAAAAAGAAAATATATTGAACCTCACCCGGGTAATACTGGAGAATTAAGGCGAAAGTTTTTCCGTTATTGTCATTGTTTGGTAAGTCTTACCTGGAATGTCGTAGACTATCTTTTTTGTTCTTTGCAGTACAGAGTGTGCATTCACAGCCTACAGCATGAGGTTTCGGTAATGATATATCTTGTTTTAACAGCATAGTGAGAATTTCATAGTTGTTACGATGAGCAGCTAAAATAACAGGTGCAACATCCATGGTTGTTGAGTACTCTGGATTCTGAATGCGTTCCATTAGTTTCTGCAATAAAACGTAGAAAGTATCTAAGTTTATTTCATACAGTTCTATTACAATGTTTACATATACATTCATCTTGACTGTAAAACAATGCCTCCCAGTGAAGCTCTCCTCCAAAATATTTTCCTCACGTTTTACAACATGAAAATAAAAAAAAGGCATAAAAATGCCTTCAAACACCTCTTATATAAATAATGGAAAAAGGAAAATAGATGCAAAAATGTTTTATTTATCTACACAGAAAATTGCCGTTCATAGCCTATCTTGTCCAATACACATAAAAAATACTAAGAGAAGTGCATTTTATTATAGTTCGAAATAGAGTGGGTTTTTTTTTTTTGAATGAGTTGATTTTACTGCTTAAGTGCAGAGAAAATATCTTGATTATAACAAATACACATTGTGGGCTACGCAATGCATCATGCCTTTTTTTCCCCTTTACTTGTGTACTTTTTAAAAATGTTTTGATACTTGAGGATAGCCAGAAATTTCAGATGATCATTTTAAGATTTGATGTTTACAGATTTGTAGAGCTTCCTAGTATTTTCAGGCAAAAATACACTTGTTTATAGGTCAAGATTGCTAACTAAATTGCAAGAGGTCCACAAGAAAAGATTTATAGCCACTCATTTCTTTTCCTCTTCCAGACTGATAAGGTATCTGTTAGCAATCAGCATTTATAAGGCTATTGGATACAGGCAGTAGAATAAAATAAAGTACTCTATCCTCTAAGGCAAAAGAGGCTATAAAAACATTATCTGATGTCCAGACTCCTCAGAGATGTAGAACTTGATTTAATGATGTTGCTTTAAGTACAGTACCCTGAAAACAGCAGCATAGCCCACCACTCCCTGAACAAAACCCCAGAAGTAAACACACTCAACTACAATAGTTGGCCTGGAGGATCTTTTTGGTCGGTGATTAAGCAGAATGTCAACAGCTCCCACCACTTCCGAATCAATAGCCACCAAAAGCGCATCTGATGACTAAGGAAGGAAAACAGGTTAAACATGAAAAGAGCAATAATTTAAACACCATAAAGAATTAATTTGAAGTCAAACTGCAAACTCCCCCCTCCCTTTTTGTTTTTGTTTTTTTAAAGTTCTAGAACAATGCTCTGTACTATTGCCATGTGTACAATCAGGATACAAATTTAGGCGGTCATTGCAAGAGCTAGTACAATATTTATTAACAATTTGTTTTACTGCATGAATAGGAGAACAATAAACGTAGCAATTATTTTTCAGCAAAGAAGATGGAGGATATTCAGGAAATCAAGTTCTAAGGGAAAGGTTACCTGGAAGGCTATGAAAGGTTTTTAAAAACACGTTGCACAAACATTTCTTTTTTTAAAAAATAGACGCATTTGATGATGGACAATGGACACTTCAGCTCTGCATTCCTAGTTCCATGATAAAGCTAAGAAAATAAGTTTTCTTCCTGGGCTGTAAACAACTTCTAAAGCTTCTCTGAAGCTTCACAGCTTGAGCTACATTTTCCCCACAATTTATATTGTTCTCTCTTTAATTCACCTTAAGAAATCCAAGTTTTTGCTTCAAAAACAGAAGAAAGAGACAAAATTTGTATTATTGCCACTGAAAAAGGAGATCCATGGAAGGGTTCTGGTATCCAAAAGCTTTTGGGTTTTTTTGTTCAATACCATACAACCTAATAAAAGATTTTAGGTTGTATGGTATTGGACCTAATAAACCATACAACCTAATAAAAGGCTTTTCCCTGTTAGCCTTCACTGTATTGTATCCTTAACTACAACTCTCCTAGCAGTAGCAGAAATGTTGTATATTGCCATGCAGTTATGGTCAAGGAAGCTACCTCTGCCATTGAGCTCAGACTAAGTTTAACAAAAAACTGAACCGTCACCTGAACTGTCCTGGAGTAAAGCAAAATTGACAAAAGTTTTAAAAGGAAATTTTAGGACAACGTTTAAAAAAAAAAAACAACCCACACTGCACTGACTAAACTTCTGTAAGTCGAAGCTCCACATTTCAGCATTTCTAAGCACACTGTAAGCAGAAATTATTGAATTTGGGTAACCAAAAGGAAACTGTTGTAAACTCACATATGATTTTTTTAAAATATACATATTTGATAAATATGCTAAATATGCCACATATGCTACATACACACTACACTATGTAGGCTCTAAGCAACCTTATCTAATGGCCAAGTCACTGCTGTTTGGACCAGATGACCTCCTGAGGTCCTCTCTAAGTTATCCACAACTCTATAATTACATAATAGCTCAAAACAGACTCCAGTATTTTTGACACATTCCAGATGAATTCTGCACTACAGAAACACATTCTCATCTTAATTTAAAAACATCCAAGAAGATGTGTATTTTTCTAACGGCGATCCCATTTTAAAAGTTCTTATACTCCAGATCCAAAGAGACCTCTGCACTCTAAACACTAATATTAGGCAGTTTGACTAGATGCTACTTATTTTGCTTGAAGATAACGCGTATGTTTCCTCTGCCACAGGAATAACATTTAAAATAACATTCAGAGTTCTGTTAACATTGTTGATACATTTGCCATGCCAATAAAATCCCAGTAGAGAAGTTATAAGAAAACACCTTCCTGATTACTAAATGAATATAGGCAACTTTGTCCTTTTAGGACAGTCTTTTTTTTCTTTCAGATTCTGATAGATTAATAGAAAACAGAAATAACAAGTAGAATATGCAAATCAATGACTAGACTTAAAATTTTCAATAATCTGATCTATCTGTGGCATACCTGGCAGCCATAATCCAGAAGAAGTTGCAGTATGTCCAAGTTTTCATTTTCAATGGTTATGGTAACAGCATTTCTTCCAAGCACATCCACACAATTTATGTTCATTTCCCCCGAGCTGTTTTCCTCCAAGAGTTTCTTAACCATGTAATAGTCACCTGAAAAAGCAATGTATGAACATGTGCTAGCAGTTATAAATAAAGCAATACAAGCAAATTAATATTGTACACACCAGCTCCCGCCACATAAGGTAACATTCCACGATATTTGACAACAGACATGTAACATAGAGGGCAACTAAGAATTCAAGCACTCTCACATCGAATGTGAAAAAAAGAGATATTTTGGAACATCTCTTTCAGGAAAGCCTAAAGACATGCACTTTAATCCAACCGTCTTTACAGTCTATTAAAACACCCCCCCCCACACACTGGCCTGGGTAATTTTCAGGACCGGCGCAACTTTGCACGTTCCTTGTTAGTCACAGAATGGCCAAGGTTGGAAGGGACCTCTGGAGATCATCTAGTCCAACCCCCCTGCTCCAGCAGGGTCACCTAGAGCACATTGCCCAGGATCGCATCCAGACGAGTTTTGAATATCTCCAGGGAAGGAGGCTCCACTACCTCTCTGGGCAACCTGTTCCAATGCTCTGTCACCCTCACAGTAAAGAAGTTTTTCCTCAGGTTCAGACAGAACTGCCTGTGTTTCAGTTTGTGCCCGTTGCCTCTTGTCCTACTGCTGGGCACCACGGAGAAGAGTCTGGCCCCATCCTCTCGACACCCTCCCCCCTTCAGATACTTGTACACACTGATGAGATCGCCTCTCAGTCTTCTCTTCTCCAGGCTGAACAGGCCCAGCTCCCTCAGCCTTTCCTCATAGGAGAGATGCTCCAGTCCCCTAGTTATCTTCCGCTGGACTCCGCTGGACTGGTCCAGCCCTCCGCTGGACTCTCTCCAGGAGTGCCATGTGTCTCTCACACTGGGGAGCCCAGAATTGGACACAGCACTCCAGGTGAGGCCTCCCCAGGGCTGAGTAGAGGGGGAGGATCACCTCCCTCGACCTGCTGGCAACACTCTGCCTAATGCAGCCCAGGAGAGCACTGGCCTTCCTGGCCACAGGGGCACGTTGCTGCCTCACGCTTAACTCGTTGTCCACCAGGACTCCCAGGTCCTTCTCTGCAGAGCTGCTTTCCAGCAGGTCAGCCCCCAGTGCTCTCGGTGCTGCAGGTACCATGAAAGCAGGTGCACTGCGACGCCCCAACGGTATGGGACTTCAAGCCAGCCGGTTTGGCAAGCAAACGCAACTCGCTGCGACCAGGTGTTCGCAAGCAGCACCTTCCCGTTTGACTCAAGCACAGACGCACCAGGCTGCCCTGTTCAGTACTACGCTGCTCAATAAACTCTTTTTGTGAGACACAAAGGTTTTGAATGATTTTTCAAATCATCAGGCCAAACCCCCGCGCGCAGACACACCTGCTCCCCACCGAGCGGAGCTTTCTGCCCCGAAGCTCCCAGGGCAATTCAGGGCACGGTTAAAAACCGCAGTCACTCCGGGACCCCCACGTTTCGAAGCCGTGGAGAACAGGGTGATTTCAGGCCGCGTTTCTACGGGCGGGCACGTACGCGTGGCGTTAAGGTAAGCGGGCAAT